CATATGGCTTACAAAATGAATAATGTTGGCTACAGTACAAGCAAATGAAACAATGTCTTATATATGAGCTATTCTAGAGCAAATAACAAAAGCATCTCTCAAAGCATATTCTCCATTTCCCTTTAGCTTGGATGATGACAAGTGGCAACATTCATATCTCTTGGATCTTGGGATAAAGGTTGAGATAAAGTGAATGGTCTTTTGTCTTTATTCATCCTTAACACATTCACATGCTCCATATGCTTTTGTGCTTGACTTTCCACGTGTGCATGGCTGCTAGGACTAGTTTGAACATCCCCTCTCAAGCCAAACCCGGTTATAGAAACTACTTGAAGCTTTGATCTGAACCGGGTGAAGGATTGACCACTCAAGGCTTTGGTAAAGACATCTGCAATCTGCTCATTTGTGGGGATATGCTGCACTCTAAGAACTCCTTCATTTATTTTGTCCCTGACAAAATGTTGATCAATTTCAATGTGCTTTCTCCTAGCATGTTGGATAGGATTTGAAGCCAAAGCTATTGCACTGAGGTTATCAACCCATATTATGGGAATTCTTGAACCTGAGATAGCCAAATCTCTCATTAGTGATTCTATCCAAGTCATTTCAGCAGTGGTGCTTGCTAAACTTCTGTACTCGGCTTCAGTACTTGATCTTGAAACTCAATTTTGCTTTTTGGAACTCCAATAGATAAGGTTCTCTCCCAAAAACACACAGGAACCAGACATTGATCTTCTATCATCTAAATCAGCTGCCCAATCTAAATCTGAGTACCCTGTAAGGTTTAAATTGCTTGTTTTTCCAATGTACAGACCATGGTCTATACTGCCAGCTAGATATCTTAAGATCCTTTTCACTGATTTCCAATGTGAGTCGAATGGATTAGCCATAAACTGACTTACCTTATTAGCACTGAATGAGATCGCAGGCCTAGTTATAGTTAGGTATTGCAAAGCACCCACAATGCTTCTGTAGAAAGTGGAATTTATGCCTGTTGTGGTTCCATCAAACTTTGAAAGTTGAACAGAAGTAACCATTGGAGTTGGACATTCCTTTGCATTCTCCATATTGGCTCTTTTCAGTAACTTTCTTATATACTGCCCCTGATGCAAATGCATGCCAGCTGCATTTCTGGATACTTGAATGCCCAAAAAATGATGAATGTTCCCAAGATCTTTTAGAGACAAAACTGAACTCAATTGAGATATCAAGGAATTGATCTGATCACAGTCACTTCCTGTTATTAAAATATCATCAACATAGACTAAAAAAAAAATTTGATGTTTTCCTTTGATCCTGAAAAACAAAGAAGTGTCTGCTCTTGAATTTCTGAAACCAAAACTCATTAGAATGTTTTTGAACTTATCAAACCAAGCTCTACAGGCCTGCTTTAAACCATAAATGGCTTTGTTCAGTTTTCAAACAAGGAAATCTGACCCTCTCTCAAAGCCTAATGGTTGTTTCATGTAGATGTCCTCTTGTAAATCCCCATGTAAGAAGGCATTATTCACATCAATGTGCCTCACATTCCAACCATAGTGAACTGCAACAGTTAACATCAACCTAATTGTTGTTGGCTTTATCACTGGACTGAAAGTCTCATAAAAGTCCAAACCAGGTGCTTGAGAGAAGCCCTGTGCAACCAGCCTAGCTTTGTGCTTCACAATAGTGCCATCTGTCCCTCTCTTAAGCTTAAACACCCACTTACTTCCAACTAAATTCTTTCCAGCTGGTAATGGGACTAGACTCCATGTGTTGTTCTTCACCAAAGCATCAAACTCTTCTTTCATAGCATTTTTCCATTCAATTTGTTGTAATGCCTCTTGGACATTCCTAGGTTCACTCTTCCTTTCATCAACAAGAAAAATTCTCTTGGGTTTGAGGTTGCCTGTTTTTGATCTTGTTAACATTCTGATGACTTGCATCATCAAAGTGCAAATCAACAGCCAAAGGAATAGTGGAGCAGGAATCTGAGCTGGATATGCTTTGAGGAGTCTGAGACTGAAATGCTGTTGAGTGTGAGGTGACAAGCCACTAAGGCTAGGTGAGCTTCTGTTACTGTGGTCTATCTGTCTGTTCTCACACTCTTTGAACTGTCTCTCATTCCTTCTTCTTTCTTCATAATTCTTAAGGATTGGAGCTTGAGTAAAAATTGGAGGGTGCAGCTTTATAGGTTGATCTTTGTTGAGATGAGTTTGATAAGGAAAGACTTGTTCATCAAAGACAACATTTCTGGTTATAATGGCTTTCTTTGATGGCAACAGCACTTTATACCCTTTGTAATTTGTGCTATAACCAATGAAAACACTTGGTAGGACTCTAAATTCCAGCTTATGTTTGTTCAAAGGCCTTATGTGAGGATAGCATCTGCAGCCAAAAACTCTCAAGCTGCTGTAATCTGCTTTTCTGTTGTATAACTTTTCAAAAGAAGTTTTGAAGTCAATTACTTTGCTATTGAGTCTGTTGATAATGTGAACAGCTGTAGAGAAAGCATCATCCCAGTAGCTCAATGGTAAGTTAGATTGAGCCTAAAGTGAAAGCCCCATCTCCACAATATTTCTATGTTTCCTCACTGCCAATCCATTTTGTTGTGGAGTATAGGGGCATGAAATTCTATGGTGTATCCCTTGTTCTTGAAAAAGGTTTTGCAAGGTTTTATACTCAGTTCCACCATCAGTTTGAAGGGCTTTGATTTTAAAATTCAATTGGTTTTCTGCTGCTGCTTTAAAATGCATAAAAGCTTCTTTAACTTGAGTTTTGTCCTTGAGAAAATAGATCCAAGTGTACCTGCTGAAATGATCCACAAAACTAACATAATAAATGAAACCATTTGTGAATTTTATGGGAGCTGGTCCCCATAAATCACTGTGCACCAATTCAAAAGGTTGAGAAGCCATAAACATAGAATCTGGAAAAGGTAATTTGTGGCTCTTGGCCATAATGCAGGAAGGACAAATAGAAGTATCTTCATCTCTTTTATAAGAGATATTACAATCACTCAAAGTCTTCTGAATAACATCTTTGCCAGCATGGCCTAGCCTATGATGCCAGAGGCTAGAACTCAAATTTTTATTGAAAGCAGTAAAATTGACTTGATATGTCTCTTCTCTTGGCTCCAATGAAGTGGATGAGTGATTCTTGTGAAGCTGCAAATTAAACCGGTATAGTCCTTCTTCAAGGGTTCCTTTGAGGAGTATTGTCTTGGTAATTTGATCCTTTACAAGACAAAAGGTTGGATGAAACTCAAAGAATACTCCATTATCATATGCAAATTGTGAAACACTCAGAAGATTCCTAGTTATGGTTGGAACATGCAGCAGATTTTTCAAAAGGAAAGCTTTAGAATCATAAGAAGTTTTTAGAGTGGCATTACCAATGTGAGTGATAGGAACCACAACACCATTTCCCATTTGAAGCCTGCTTTTTCCAATGTAGTCAGAAGCCATGTTTAGGTTGCTGAAGTCATTTGTCACATGAGCACTGGGCTCCTGAATCTGGGAACCAACTTGCTTCTGATCCACTGTCTGAGCTTGTTGGATAAGGTGAAGCATATTGAGGCGCAACTTGATCAAGGTTAATTGCAAGATTTCTGAGATGAGTCTGCTGTCCAAAGCCAGAAATATTTTGGTTTGTGTTTTGGTTCCTATGCCAGCATCTATCTGCAGTGTGTCCAGGAATTTGACAGATTTGACATATTGGTTTGGAGTTGTTGTATCTGCCTCCTCTTCCTCTGCTATATCTCCCAAACCTGCCTCCTCTTCCATTTTGAAAATTTCTGAAACCTCCTCTATTTCCTTGAAAAGCTAGTGCTTTGAAATCCTGTGTTGAAGTTTCTGTTTTGATGGCTTTGAGTGGCAGAGTTAATAGAAGGTTGTGATCCTTCTGAGTTCAAGGTTGTGCCAGTAGTGTTATGGGATTCCATTCTAGCTTCATAACTCAGAAGTAAGGCCTGGAGTTCAGCCATGGTACATGGCTCCACTCTTTAAGTTACACTAACAACCACAGCATCATATTCACTTGGTAAGCCACTTAGAACATGCAGAATTTGGTCTCTCTCTGAAATAATGTGTCCAGCAGAAGCTAGTACATCACAATAACTCTTCATCTTACTAAGGTATTCTTTCATTGCTACACCAGTCTTTTTCAGAGTTTGCAAAAGAATTTTGTACTGCATTATCTTTGCTTGAGACTGAGTAGCAAAATTGTTTTCAAGGGCTGACCAAATTTCTTTTGAGGATTCCAAACCAACAGTCAAGATAAGAATGCTCTCACTAAGTGAAGACAACATCCAAGAAGCAAGAATCTGATCTTGCCTTTGCCAAGTAGAGAAAACAGGATTTACCTCAACATTTCCTTCTTCAGCTGTGATGTACTTCTCAGGAGCTTTCTCATTCTTGTCTATGAAAGATTCCAAGCCGTATCCTTTGATGGTAGTGAGGGCTTGCTGTTTCCAGATGAGGTAGTTTGACTCATCTAGCTTCACAGAGATGAGTTGATTCACTGGATACACTATTTGAGATTGGAACTTAATGGTGCGGTTATGACCAGGACCTGTATTTGTGGAGCTCTCCTCTGTCATGGTGATTTTGTCGAGAAAAGAAAAACAAAAGAAAGAAAAAAAAAAAAAAGAAAGAGGAAGATATCAGAGTCAGGTAAACACCTGCTCTGATACCATGATAGAAAATGAGGATAAAATCATGTCAACAAACATCAATGCATAGAGAATTGTGTGAATCTTCATTGAAAGCAGTAACTCGAGTTTCAGATCTGCCATATGGCTTACAAAATGAATAATGTTGGCTACAATACAAGCAAATGAAACAATGTCTTATATATGAGCTATTCTAGGGCAAATAACAAAAGCATCTCTCAAAGCATATTCTCCATTTCCTTTAGCTTGGATGATGACAAGTGGCAGCATTCATATCTCTTGGATCTTGGGATAAAGGTTGAGATAAAGTGAATGGTCTTTTGTCTTTATTCATCCTTAACACATTCACATGCTCCATATGCTTTTGTGCTTGACTTTCCACGTGTGCATGGCTGATAAGACTAGTTTTAACAGTTCGGCTCGGGGATTGGCTTACCTACACCACGATTGCTCCCCAACGATAGTCCATCGGGATATAAAGTCGAGCAACATACTACTTGATGAGAATTTTGTGCCTCGTGTTTCGGATTTTGGTCTTGCCAAGCTATTGGACGACGAAGATTCTCATGTCACGACTGTGGTTGCCGGCACATTCGGCTATCTAGCTCCGGGTTTGTTTCGTTTCTTTTTGGAGTTCGAATAAGTTTTTTCAGCTTTCTAAATTTTCGAATCTTCACGTTGTCATTTCACCATTTTTTAAAATACTTCATGATTATTTGGCGAATGAACGATTTTACATATTGAAATCATCGTGATATAAAACAAACTGACGAACGAACACGCACGGCCTTCGAAATGGTTTCACGCTCAACCGTAAAACAAAATTTCAAAAATAGAAAAAAATAAATTAAGAAGTACGAAAATCCGGAGAATACTAACGGGGGTTGTATTCATTCGGGATTTCAATTGACATTTTGAGACTTTTTGAGATTTTACACCTTTTAAAATTTTTATGTTCGTATATGGTTTTTCTTTTGAAATCCTAGCAAATCTAAAAGTCTGAACAAATCATAGTCTTAAATAAGTTAAATACCTTATGATTTTGTAATACTTTTTAAAATCTAAAATGAATACCTCTAAATTGAATACTCCAGAATTTGTAAAGTCTTAAAAAGTCTTTAGAAATCCCAAACGAAAAAAAAAAAAGAAAAAGAAAAATTGTGCACATTATGAAATCAAAATTAATGTGTACTTGCAGAGTACTTGCACAGCGGTAGGGCCACCGCGAAGTCGGACGTTTATAGCTTTGGAGTGCTTCTCATGGAGCTCGTAACCGGAAAAAGACCCACCGACTCATCTTTCGTTCCAGAGAGGTCTGAATATCGTCGGCTGGGTACATCTCCAGTCAGTTGATTCGCAAAATTCTCGCTAAAAAAATCTTATAATTAATTGCACCAATATCACCTTATCTTTCTAAATTATATATTTTTTTTTCTAGATGAATGAGCGTTTGAGGGGAAATCAGCTGGGTGTCGTGCTCGACAAAAGATGCTCGGATGCGGATTTCGAGACGGTCGAGTTAGTTGTAGAAATTACGGCAAGATGTACAGATGCAAACCCGGACGAGCGGCCCACAATGCTGGAGCAAGAGCTGATGACTTCTGCATACCTAACCGAGTTTTACGACTCGCATTAGGACAAGTGATGGTGACGTGGAACTTATAATAAACGTGTACATATTCCCGAATGAACTAATTTGCATTCGCGCGTTTATGTTTTTGAATCTATTTGCAGTATTATGCGTCTTTGTATGTATATATATAATATAGGGAGAGCTAATTTATGAATCAATCAGTGTTTATATAAATTTTGCAAATAGCCTTTTTGGAGCTATTATTGATTACTGTTTTGGAACAGGCTAAAGCTTGCGACGATTAAATGTTGAAGTCGGCGTAAAATTTTGTGTAGTTTGGGTGGTAAAGCTAAATTCATAGCTACTCAGTGATCGATCACACGATATAAAATTCGGTGAAATATTGCCTTCATTTGCAGGATCGAAATTCCCGATTGGGAAATAGGTTTAGGTGAATGTAGTCGAAGAAAATTAAGTTTAAGCTATGGAAGATTGACCATCAGGTTGAATCTGTCGAATTGATGAAGATCGGTCGTTGGGTTGAAACGTTTTTTTTTCTTTTATATATATGTCAATAAAGACTTAATACTAATAATTTTCATGCATGTTCAAATAAAAGTTACGTTCGTTTGTATAGAAAATTGTTGCAGCTAATGGTGTACCTTGCATTATAAAATTAGAAATTTTAATAAAAATATAATTGGAATTAGTTTTTTTTTATTGAAATTTTAGTTAAAATTTGATGATTCCAATTTATTGCTGTAAGAATTTTTATTAGAATATCAGTGTTCGTTGAAATTTTTATTTCAAGTCATTCTCTTGGAAAATTTGCCGTTAGAATTGTAACATTCCAACGGAAAAGGCAGAATTAAAATTACTCTTGGAATTGCATTTGAATATATTTTCGTTTAAATTTTTCATTAAAATTTCATCATTTTCTTATATTTTTGTTTAAATTTTTTATTAAAATTTCATCATTTTCTTATAGTATGATGTATATCAAATAACTTTATTAAGGTTAAGACCAGTTCAAACTTGGAAAAATCAACTCCCATTGGTATTGTTGGTCTGAAAAAAGACTTACGGCATTTGGTCAACGACGTCACTCAGAAGTCATCGTGATGACTAATATGTTTTTTAGATGGAATCGACCGGCACATTAATTCCTTCAGCCTAACGCAATTGAGTTTTGCCCTCATTCTTTGACTAATAATTAAAAATACACTCCACACATATATACTCATTTTTAGTATTTAAACCAACTTTTTCTCCCCCCACATTTCACAATAGCTCAAATTAATTCTACCCAAAAAAAAAAAATGGCAGCCAACAAGCTCGCCGGTAAAGTTGCCGTTGTCACCGGCGGTGCTAGCGGCATCGGCCTTGCTGCCGCTCGAGCCTTCGTCGCCCACGGGGCCCGTGCGGTGGTGATTGCTGATGTCCGAGCCGATGAGGGCCGGGCCGCAGCCCTCTCCGTCGGCCCAGACGTGTGTAGTTTTTTTCGGTGCGACGTGGCCGACGAGGACCAAGTTCGGTCCCTCGTCGACCATACCGCCGCCACCCACGGCGGCCTCGATGTGTTCTTCATCAACGCTGGCGTCGTTAGTGACTCGGAGCAAACCGTGCTCAACCTCGACCTCGACAAGTATGAGGCCGTCATGCGGGTATTGTTATATTTTTGGTTAAAATGAAGTTAATGTAAGATGAGTTATATGTGACGTGGAAATGAAATGAATTTTCACTAGTTTGAAAGTTACACTACATCCATTCATGTGTAAAAGATGAGTTACACACTGCGTGAATGTAAGATAAGTTTCAAGATAATGCATGTGAGATGAGTTTCACTTTCACAAGCTTGAAACTTATCGATTTAATTAATATTCTTGAATTAATCAAACGAGTATCAACTAGATATGTTTAACAGTTATACAAATACTTTTTGAAATCTTATTAAGAAAAGTAAATCCCAAACCCCAATTTTGTGCGTTCTCTAAAAATTTCCAAACGAAAAAGAGATAAATTTGAGTTTTTGGGACAAATTTTTGCATCTTGTATTATATATTAATTTTATAAGTATCCCTGAGTATTATTGAACAATAAAAATCTGAGTGTTGCTGAGCGTCTCTTTTCTTTCAGGTGAATGCGCGCGGCACGGCCGTGTGCCTGAAGCACGCGGCACGGAAGATGGTGGAGCTCGGTTGCGTGGGTGGCGCGATCGTGTGCAACGCAAGCGTGATGGGGGACCGCGGGGCGGAGGTGCACACGGACTACGGCACGTCGAAGCACGCGGTGGTGGGGCTGGCGAGGTCGGCGGCGGTGCAGTTGGGCCGACACGGGATACGAGTGAACTGCGTGTCGCCGGCGGCGGTGCCGACGGCATTGGCGGGGAGAATGGGTTTGGGGACGGCAGAGGAGGTTGAGGCGGCGATGGGGCCGTACACGAGCCTCAAAGGGGCGGTGCTGACGCCGAAGCACGTGGCGGAGGCGGTGGCTTTCCTGGCGTCGGGGGAGGCCGGGTTTGTGACGGGGCACAATCTGGTGGTCGACGGCGGACTCACCGGCCTGCCCTCCGGCGAGTGAGAATGTATTTTTTATATATGTTTTGATTTGAGTGTTATTCTATGTGAAGCTATATTATTGTGATGATTATTCTTGTTTTTAGTAATTATTATGTATATTATACACATGCATGTAGTTAATTTTATATAGGTGGAGTAATCACCTTCTATTTTAGCACCAATACTGTTATTTTATTGTGGAAATCTCAAGGGTGTGCTAAATCATAGAATATCCTCGCACTGCCTTCGAATTCTTAAATGAGTGCATTCATGAACAAATATATGTTGTATGAAAATGAAAATCACAAAAATAATTAGTCTACGAGAAAATCACAATATTTTCATCCCATACATGCATAAGGTCAATGTACATTTTCTTTAGCTTCCACATTCAAGATGGTTACAACTAATTAGCATGTGAGAAATCAAAATGATAACTTTGATTTATGTATATGTATAACTATATCAAATATTTTTGTTTTTGGTTATATCAATATTTTATGATAATAAAAATGGTTATGTCAATTTAATTGTAAGATCTGTAACATTTGCCAAACTTTAATATTCTTTAATTACAATATTCTTATTTTTAACATTATAAAATTGAGAATTTTATTTTTATGAGACTTGTTTTGATATTCTGTCGTGTCAGACGCCGCACCGGAGATAAATGGTCAAGCTGTATAGTCAATAAGACACGTCGGCATGACGTGTCTTTTCCATGCCTGATTTTGAAATTTAGGCTACAATTATCTTACTTTTGATTGATTTTTAAAAGACATATGAGACTTATTTTGAGGACCATGATTCTAATGGGACCAATATTTAAAGAACCCTGACGTTATGATACCTGTTTTGGTATTTTCCTTAGAATTACATGCTTCTTATTTAAGTTTGGAATTCCTCTCTATTTTCTCTCTTCTCTCTTTTTTTTTATGCTTTGGTTCGGAGGTCCATGAATCAATTTTCCGGCGAAATTCCGGCAAGTTTATTTTTATTCAAATTTCGAGCTTTATTCACTATTTTCGTTCAAGCATGCGATAGGAGAGTAGGTACCTAGCTTAGGCCCTTCTACTTCGAGTTTGATTGTCGAATTGTGTGTATGCTCGTTTCTAGGCTTTTGCTTTATTTTTATTGCTTGCCTACTTGTGTTAGGAATCTATATGTGCTTATCTTGTGTAGAGATCTCGACTTTGCTTGAAGCGTGATGATCTAGTGTAGAAAGCTCGTGTTAGATTATCTAGGATCACTATGCTCGCATGTTTTCTCTTTGTTTATTTTCTTTTTCTTGAGTCGTGGAGATTTCGGTAGACTAAAGTTTCGATCTTTCTCTCTATATTTGCATTTTTCATCATTTGCTCTTAGATTCTTAGTTCAAGTCCGTGCAATCATCCCCAATCAAGCGAGTAGAATGTGTAGGACCTTCTTTTTGGTTATGTGACTTTGATGACTAGGTAGTAAACGAATGTCCGAACAGTCTTCCTTTGAGAACGACCCGAGTCGGGTAGCTCGGTTACCACATGCCCAAAAATACTACAAACACACACCTTTAGTATGTTAACTTAACTCTCGTCAAATCTAGGATTGACATGTTTTTTTTCGGTGATATAGCTATCATCTAGCTAGAATGGACCACTATTGAGTAAATTAGGTCGACCGGCGGAAAGGTGAAGCCTAGTCGACTTATAGAGAAAATCATGTATACATGAAAGGGATTGAGTCATATGGAGATTTGGTTAACTACCTGATGAGTAGATTACATCCTAAACCAATAAAACCTTCATTTAATACGAAAAAAGGTAATTATTTGATTCAAACTCTTCGTGGAATCGACCCTTACTTGTCGCTACGACTAGTTAATGGTGGATAGTAAAAAAAAATTAATTTGTCACGTTGTGATGCGATCAGAAACAAATGAGTTAACCAATCGATTTTTTTGGTATCAATAGATAAAATTTTATGTCTTATCCCAGTCAACTGGAAATAAAAGGTTCGATTCACATCGGTAGCATTTTATGTCTTTTCCCATGAAAGAAACTGGGAAAAAACGGGTGCGGTCCCACTAACATGAAGCGCACCATAAGCGGGGAAAGCCAATATGAAGCCCAAGTGGGGTTCCATCCAAAAACCAATTGGTGGAAAGAGGAGTAGCCCATTAGACTTATAAAATGGGTCTATTTTTCATATATGAACGATGTGGGACAATTCACAAGTGATATTCTGACATCACAGATATTTGTTAATACTAGTAAAGTGCACGTGCGATGCACGTGACGACGAATGTTTTTTACCGATTAAATTTAGTAAGATAAATTAATTAATTTATTACACATATATATGATTGTAGGAACAAAATAAAATGTAGAATAAATAAACTTTTCATGCATTTTATTTTAAATAAAAAAAATGTTGTCGTAATATAAAAAGATTTAAATATCATATTACAACTCCAACAAAAATATATGAAAAATGAGTTCCTGATGGAAAAACAATAAATGACTAAATAAAGACATAGTGTAGATTGTAGATGCATGAGTTATTTTATTTATTTATGTTAAATTCAAGAGTCATTTTCTTTTATTTGGTTTTGATGTTCTCATAAGAAACATTCACACTCGTTGAATTCTAATACATCAATAGTATTGCAAAATTCTTCTTAATTAATTTGGCAAAACGTCTGTTTTATTCAACACTTAGAAATACTTTAGCCAAACATATAGTCAAACTTTATGATTGCATGATAATTATAAGGTATTTCTACTAATAGTTCATAAGTATCTATGTGAAATAAACAATTGTAGCATTAAATTTCTTGATATTCGTGTCATTAAAATTCTTGATATTTCTTTTAATCACTGTATAAACTACTACATTTGTCTCTCTCTCTCTCTCCACATAGATAAATTGGTACTTACCCCATGAGGTGAGAACGAATTTCATCTCTAAACAAAATTTGATTTTCTAAAATCATTTACTTCTCTGAAGATGCTAAATTATTTTTTTTGAAATCATCACACATTACATAAAAATATGTACTCTAAAACAATTGCGCGTATGATCGATCACAATACACAGTTATGATTGTAAATATTCTTATAAAAAAGTAACAACTTATTCAACATTCAAAAATATTTTGATCAGAATCAAACATTCCCTTTTCTGTGTTATTAATTTGGAAGATAGATACCTTGCATATTCTTTCGGATTTGCAATATGTATGTGTCTAATAACATTTATTGTCCAATCTTTTGTATCATAACTAATGCTTAAAAAATTCAAGATAAAGATCCTTTATTGATTCTTCAATAATAACAAAACGAAACAAAACAATGAAACAATATTGAGAAGTATTTGTCAAAATATTTCAGATGAGAAGAATTTGAATTATACTATATTATGATACTCTTAGTCATCTGTTAACTTTATTATTATAAAGTCATTATTAAAGTTTGTGGTCTATCTTATGATAATATCGAATCATTATTTATGAGAATAAATTTCTTATAGAGAACATATACTTAAATGCTAGCAACAAAAAAAGTAGTAATTTTAAAAGATTTTTGTTTCTTGATATTAGTATTCATACTTTTCTAAAAAAATTCAGAATTTTTCTTTTCCTCATTGCATTACTATTGGTTTACTTGTTTTTTTTTATTTGTTGAAAGAATTAGAGAACATTTATATGCAATGCGTTCTTTTTACGTGTTTGATAGTAATAATATACTTGATAAAAATGTTGTTTTATATTGTTTATAATATTAAAAAGATTTGAATTTATTTCCATGTTCTGATAAAATATTAAGTAACTAATTCATGTATTCACAAAAAATACATTTTACAACCATTATGGTGCTCCCTTTCAAGCAATAATTGAATAATAGTTTAACATACAACCGTTTTATTTTTTTGTTTTAATTCACATATTTAATATTGGTAATAGTTGTACAATTACATCTAGTTGAATTTTTTCTTAGTATGATTATTTGATTTTACCAATGTATTGATTTTTTCTTAGTTAAAAATAATATAATTATTTGATTTTGCCAATATTGGTAATAGTTGTACAATTACATCTAATTATTTATTTGACATCACAACAGCATACTTGGCTTGACTGTCTTCCTATTCTCAAACAAGGTCTCAGAACAGAAATTAGAAATGGAGCTCTCACTAAGATTGAAGATCTGAACTGGATCCCATCTCTCCCTCTTATGAAACCTAAGCTGCTGGACATAGCACAGGGGCACATTATGTGGGTGAAGGAGCTCCTGTCAGATGATAGGTTACACTGGAATGAATGGCTGGTAAAACAACTATTTAATGAAGAGGAAAGCCAGGCTATTCTAAGCATCAAGACCTTGAATCCTGCTAGAGAGGACAGATACTTCTGGTGCCTAAGCAAGAAAGGGATTTTCACTGTCTCTTCCACTTATACTTACCTGATCAATCAAAAAACTCTGCAACTTGATATCCCAGAAGCTAGCCAAGGCCAAGAATTGATTAAAAAAGCTAGACTTAGAAGTTGGAACCTCAAAATCAAGGGTACAGTTAGACATTTCCTTTGGAAGTGTATAACTAACACCCTACCTCTCAACACTAATCTGTGCAAGAAAGGCCTCCCTGTTGATGTCCTTTGTCATTGCTGTGGGGAGTTTCCTGAAACAACTGAACACCTTTTATTCCACTGCTCCAGGGCTCAACAGCTATGGCATCAGGGACCTATTCAATGGAATGAAGTATGCACAGTTGGAATGAATTTCAGAGTCTGGTGGTGGCATCTCTGTTCTATCAGGCACACTCAAGTTGCAGAAGAAAGAATTCAGTTAACCACCTACCTTCTTTGGTGGCTGTGGAAGGAAAGAAATCTCTGGGTATTTGAGAAGGTGAAGATGCCAGTCCAAGTTCTCATCAGCAGGGCTCTCAAGGATTGGCAAGAATGGATAGCAGTGAGGTCTTGACCCTTGGTTGTTGTGATGTGTTGCTGTTTATGTTTGTGTCAGTGTTGCTGTTTGTTTGTGGCAGTGTTGGTCTGTTTTGGTCCTTTCAGTTTGGTTGTTTTCTTGTATTGTGTTGGTTCTTTGTTCTAGTTAGTCTCTAGAAGTTAGTGGGTATGCTAGGCTTTGATGCAGTGGTGTGCTTTCTTTCTTCTTTTTATTTGGTGTCTCTAGGCCGCTTTGTAAGCGTGTCCTCCCATTTTTAGTTTTCGGCTTTAGTTCTTGCTCATTAGACCTTTGGTCTCGGTTGTATTCGAACGTTGTTCCCCTTTGAGGTTTAATATATTGCTTCTATCGTTTAGAAAAGATATAAAAAATAGGAAAGAAATGATATGATATATTACATATAAAAGGGTTACTAAAAAAAAAAATCAGTATTTCAAAATTAAGAAATTTAATGGTAAAAATTAACTAATTTTTTAACTAAAAAATTATGACTAAAATACCGATTTCTAAGACAAAAAATTAAATATATTTTTTATAAATGTGCATCTCAAGTATATTTTACATTTATCGTTCGCTAGCTCCAATTGATATATGACATTTATTAATTTTATCGTTATTTTTTTTTTTACTTTTGAGTGGAACATCAGTTATAAGCTTTCTCGTTGTGTAGTTTTACTTTTTTATTACGTAGAATATCATTTTTACATCTTGTTTAGTATTAACATTACCTTTTCAGTAGAACATCACTCTGACCTCTTCTTTAATTATTATAATACTAATAAAATATTTAAGGACTTTTCAACTTATATATATTTTTTTAATTACTAATTATCATAAATTAAATGATAATTACATTAAATATGTTATATTTTGTATCATTATCAACAATTTTCAAAACAATTAACTGCACACAATATTATATATAGTGCAAAAATTTTTTAGTTTGATTTGGAGTCATACTTTTACTACAAGAAAATGATGAAATTCCAATGAAAATATATTACAGCGAAATTTCAACAACAATTCTAACGAATATTTCAACGTTACAATTTTCGTTTAAATTTTTCAATGAAAATTATAACAAAAATATTTTGTTGCAATCATATGCAGATCCATGTTTGTCCAATAGTCCCGAAACTGGCATCATCCCAAAACAAACATAAGATATCTAACAAACATTATGGCACATTTTTCATAATTTTAATCATGTCCTCTATTTTAAAAATAAAATTAAAAGAATAAAGACAAATAATGATTAATTTACAACTCAACCAATCATAACTTAATTCAATTCATAACGTTATTAAAATTATAGCATCAATGCGGTTTCCCAACTAAAGAAAATATGATATTAAAGTTTGCAATTTTGCGCTCTATTTCTCTCTTTTCTTTTTATTCTTGATGATATCTTATTATCTCTTTATTGAGACATAATTTTTGTCTAATTTTAGAAAATATATTTTAAGTCTTTTTTGAATGTATGTAAAATTCTAGTTATATATTCGTAGTTTATACATTCATCTATTATATTGTCGAGTCAACTATACTAAAACATAAAATTTTTGTTCATAAAAAGATTTTGAAAAATGTATTATTTTTTTATGAACTTCTTATGTCGAATTGAGAAAAAATATGCTTTTTTTTTTTTTAATATTATTGAACTTATTGTGATTGTATTGATGTGTTAAAAAAAGTAATACATATGAGAAAGTTGACAAATTATGAAAAGTATACTTTATAAATTATAATGACATTATGTTGTTTTGATGCAATACTTTTTGTATTAATTAGATAGTGCTCTTAACATAAAATTATTTTGGATTCGCCACTGCAGCTAGTTTTTCATTAGAACTTTCATTGTTTTTCTCAATTTCAGTGACAATTTTTTTAATGGTTGAAATATGGCCGAAAAAGAAATCCAATGTAAATTCACACAAAAATAAATATTAGTAATTGAGATATTAAATCTTAAATTTACTCACCATTAGAATAACCAGTGAATCTTTTCAATAGAAGCTATACCAATGAAATATCTGTTGGTATTTTCTTGGAATACCTAAACATCATCGATTTTAAATATTTTACTAATATTTGTTAATAAATTTGTAAAATTAAATAAATATTGTTGAAACAGTTATCTTATTTGATAGGATACTTACGGTTAAATAAACTCTTAAATTTTATTGAAAAAATCATAAAAGTATTTAAGAATCTTGAATAATATCAATAAATAAAATATTTTATTTATAAAATTTTGAATTATAATCGTTCATAGAGCGCTCAACTTGATAATTAATTGTTCAAATAAAATAAGAATAATAATAATTACAATGTCACGAACATTTTTATTAATAATTGAATGAAAAATTTCAAATATTTTAAGTCTTAATAATTAAAAAATTACGCAACTTGATTTTAATCACCTAATGGTCATGTGAAGATTCTTAACTCTATTAGCTTTGCGACCAAAATTTAAAAATACAAACCACTAAACAATGACGATTTTTGTGGGATCAAAATTCAATCCAATAAAACTAAGGTGCAATCTAATTCTAGTTCTAAATACAAGAGTTTATTTTTTTAAAAAAATGACCTAGTTAAATAAATTCTTCCATTATTCTAGTTTGTTAGATTATGTATATATTTCACGTGTGCATGATTTCGGTAATATTTTAGGTATCTTCTCTTAATTAAAGTTATGTATGTATCTTGGAAATTATTTATTATATAAAATTTACCCCTCAACTAAGTTATCATGTTTTACCAAGATTTATTGTTTTGTTAAAAGATAGGTAAACAAATAATTGAGAATATTTAGATCATTTATAAGTATTTATAATAAAACATTTGGACTAAATATTGTATAAGATTATTTTGTAGATATATTGTTTACAAGAACCAATTTGTTGTGGTGGACTTCTGTGGAAGAGTTATTTTTTTTTCCAACAGCTACTTAGCTAAGAGATTATAACAATTTCTTCAAAGACCACCTCAATCTCCATCACTTTTAGTAAAATTTAGAATTATTTGAGTCATACTTTGGGCGTGGATCATAATAGTCTTTAATGTTACGCTGTTATTTATTTAATTAAATATTAGTGATTAACTAAAAAATATAAGATTTGAAGAGTATTAGTGTATTAATAATTAAGTCAAAGTAAGGGTTTTTTAGGTAGTTCATTTGTTAATTAAAAATATAAAATTAGATGAGTGTTACTGTATTACTAATTTGTCATTAAAAATATGTCAAAGTAAGGATTTTTTAGGCAGATCATCATTTGTTAATTAAAAATATAAAATAAGACGGGTATTACTGAATTACTAATTTGCCATTAAATATATGTCAAAATAAGGATTTTTTAGGCAAATCATTATTTTTACAAAATCACTCGTCCTTTTATAATAGTATAGATATAGATAGATAGATAGATATAGATAGATAGATAGATAGATAGATAGATATAGATATAGATATGGATAGATAGATAGATAGATAGATAGATAAACATAAATATAGATAGATAGATATAGATAGATAGATTTGCAGGTATTTCTTTTTTCCGCTTCTTGTTTATCATTTTTTCTGAATTGAATTCTTCGTTCTTTTTTTTTTCATTTATTTAATTTTAGGTTCTTTTTTTTCCTTTTTTCATTTTTTTTTCCTTGATCGACATTCGGGAAAAAATGTATAAATATTTCTGCTAGAAATGATGTTTACAAAATCTCTTCACAAATGCCTCAGTAGTTTGTGTGATTTTTGTTATTTTCCTTGATTTTTAGTCTTTGTTCATATCACATGTGAGGGTAAAAACCTAACTTTTGCTTAAAGAAACTATACTTTGCCACAAATTTGACTGTAAGATGCACAAAGACATTGTGGTTGAATTTGGTTCATAATATTGACAACCCACTAATTTTGATATGGTGCTAAAAGATGATTTCTAGCATAATATGTCAAAAGATGATTTCTAGCATAATTTTAGCTGAAATCTCAAAGGCACAATTGACTAAAAGTTAAAATCGGTTTCGAGTGATGGAATAATTTTTTCACACTACTTCATTAAAAATCCAATTCAAATTTTATCTAACCAACTTTCATCAATATTATCAATACACTTAAATAATAACAATTAAGTATTCTCACTCATCACATTACCTTTAATTAACTATTCATTCATTCATATTTTTTTAACTATCTATCATTTTCATTATCCTATTGACTTCATTTACATCATATCAACTAAAATCAGTACATTATAAATATTATTTAAATATAAACTCAAAATCTTACTGAATTAGTTTTATTTAAAATTAACTCACTTTAACCAATAAAACAAATTAAAATCATTTTTATTTATATTGAATAGCCCACAATTAATTCAAATAACGCGGTTTTGAACAATGATTAAAGCATTTTATTTGTCATTTTCAATTTTGAATCAAACCTTCTTTACAAAACCTTCATATTTATTGTCAAAAGCCTTCAAACCATATTCCCCCAAAGTCTATAACTTTCTCAAGAGATGCATACAATTTTGCGCCCGTGAATATATATTTGTCAATTTCCAAGAATTATTTCTAGTTCTGTTGTGTCTATTGACCAACTTTGTTTTCTAGTTCTATCTTGTCAGTGCCTAGCTCTAATTTCACGTTTATAGTTCATATGTTCAAATAAAAGCGACATTCAATTGTATAGAAATTGCAACAGTATTCTAAAGGTATAGTTTCAGTTAAAAATTTTCAATGGAAATTTCAATAAAAATATACAATTGGAATGAGTTGGAATAAGTTTTCATTAAAATTTTGGTTGAAATTTGATGATTCCAATAGTTTATATACGAGAAAAATTTTCGATGAAATATCTAGTGTTCGCAAGTGATATTTCTATTTTCGAAAATTTTCCGTTAGATTCATCACATTCCAACATAATATTTCTAGTTGAAATTTGTTTGAAAATTCCAACGAAGAAAAGAACAATTGACATACTAATTGTTGGGTTCGTATTTGAATATTCCATTAATTTTTTAAAAAAAAAAAAAAAATTCGTCATTTTCTTGTATCATGATGTATATTTGTTAGATAATTTTATTTAGGTTACGACCCGATCAAACTTTGAAAAATCAACTCCTATTAGTCTGAAAACAACTAATTAATAAGGCACGACCCAGCAAGAAGACTCACAGCATTTGGTCAACGACCAAATGTGAAAAATCATTATAATTTCTTGTATCATGATGTATATATATGTGCTAGCTCTTTGTTTTTTCTTGAAGATTTCCACTATTTTTTATTTTTTTTTCTTTTTTTGTTGACAAGCCATGATCATAATATTCTTCCGTTCGACAATTAGCACTGATTAATATTTCAACAAACATGTTCGATTGACAATAAGAAAAAAGATGAAATTTCGACGAAAATATAACATTTTATTGAAATTGAAATTGAAATGATAATTTCAGTGGATTAATGGAATCAAAAAGTGGCGGTACATAGGTGCTGTGAAGATTCACCAGCTTATAATTCAATTAATTAAGCATCATATATGTGTGTATGTGATGCCTTTCGAACTTTACTGGTGGATCAGAAGAAGCGTTGAGCGAATCAATTAATCTCACTTTGGGCAACATATATTGTTAGGTGGGTTGAGGCACAATTCTTCGTTGTTGCGTAAACATGTGCTGCACAAACAATGTGTTACATACTAAAAAGCTAACGTCTAATAAATATATATTGGCAAAAATTGTAAAACATGTATAGCAGGAACAATTTACTAAAAAAAAAAAAAGAATTATTGATATTTTCTGCAATTTGTTAATGAGTATATATATATTAATTTGGGAACAATATTTAATTTTGTGCACTTTCTGCTTAGGTAAAGACTCACATTGTAGCATTATTGTTCTTTATGAGATGCTTAAATTCGTCATCAGGTACGATGCCAGTCAGCTGATTATTATCTAGGTTACTGTCCTTGCAAATCCACGTCAAAATTGTAAGATAACAAGCTGGAATATCTTAAAAGAAAAAAAAAATATATATATATATATAGTAATTACAAAATTGAAAAAAAAAAAGTTTGTGTTTATTAATCACTTACAGATAGATCAAGCTAGTACAATTTCCAAGTTCCGGCGGAATGGAACCGGTAAACCGATTGTTTTCTAGATCCATATCCCTCAAATTGGTAAGAAGTCCAAGTTCTTTAGGTATTTGTCCGGTTAGGTTATTGTTACCCAGATTCCTGACACCCCAAAATAAAATCTTAAGTTTGTTTGGAATTTTAAGTGACTATATATATATATATATATATATATATATATATATATACACACATGTATATATATACATACATAAATATACCATGCCTATTTGACTATTGGAACATTAACGCGAAAATGGTTCATTATTTTTTGGGATTAATGTCTTAAAAATAATACATATTGCAACATAACGTCTTGCTTTTATGATTAATGTCCCCAAAATGATACAAATTAAAATATAACGTGCTATTATTGATGAAGGAAAAATTAGCGTACCAAAAAAGGATGTTAGACAAGTAAATTTACCAAAAATAGAAAATTTTCCATCTATGTCAGTACTAACTATCGGTTTTCTTAAAACAACACACAATCTTTAATATAGAGATATCTTAGTTGCGAACATCACTTACAAAGTTTGTAGCTCTGTCAAATTTGAAAGTTCCGGGCCCAGTTCGCCTCCGAGCAGGTTATCTTCAAGGAGACTACGTACCAAGAAGAGAAATTAAGAAAATAAAATAAAGTAATTATAAAAAAAAAATAAAAATTGAAAGACAATGATAAAGTACATAGATTATTCATTAGACACGCATTTGATCGATTACTAAATAATTATAAACCAATTAACCTAAGCAAATATTAGCGAATTTAATTAGTAGACGATCTAAAATGCATGAGACGACACATACATTTCAGTCACGTTTTCACTGTCGCAGGTGATACCATTCCAAGTACCATCGCAAGGGTCCTGTGTTTTGCCCCAGGTTGTAAGAATATTGAGAGTATCATTTAATCTACACTTGAAGGTAAGTAGAACACTGCCTGCAGTCAACAAAACCAATGAAATAATTAATGAATCAGATGAATTAATAATCATATGCATAATTATATTTTTAAGAATATGTATGACTGCTTGATGGTTAGGCCTGCAAGGCAGCTTTTATATATATATATATATAAGGCCAAATTTGTCNAAAACACACAACTGTCTTATAGCTAAAAAAAAAAAGGCCAGAACTCGCAAACCTTCTAGAGTTATGCCCTGAGGCTGAGGGCAGTCGCTGCTTTGAGAACGCATGATAAGGATCCACAGAGTGGCCATGAAGATCATGCCAATTGTGTTCATCATCTTATATGTATGTCTTATTAATTCCAGCTGACTCTTTTTATATGTATGTCTTATTAATTCCAGCCAGGCTCTTTATATAGAGAAAATTACACTTGAGCTGGCAAAAAATGTCAAAATAGGCGTGTTTAGATTTACGAATTCATGCCCCAAATTAATCTTGGTTTGCTACTGTGTGCTAGCATGCATGCGTGATCTGCGCCTTTATTCTAATTTATTTGGCAATAAAACTCGTGTCTATTGACCAACTTTTATTTCTAGCTCTATCTTGTCAATGCCTAGTTCTAATTTTTTCACGTTTATAGTTCATTTGTTCCTTTGAAATTTGCAGGGCTTTTGGATCTTAGAGAATTAATAAGTCTCCGTTAATGCGACTCATTTGTTTATCATATTTTTGGACATAATCTATATATATATAATTGCTAGCTAAACTCATTTAATAAAACATTTAATAAAATTATTTTCACTTTTCCTCCAAAAGGAGTTACATTTTTTTTAATTAATTACTCATTAATCTCACATTTAAGAAGATTTTTTATAGTTAAATTTAATTAGTTAATGACTAAATTAAAAAGATTTATTTTAATTAATCCCACATTTATGTTAAGTACAGTATTATCTTAATATCTTATCAGTTTTTCAAAAAAATAGTAACTTTTTTTAATAAATTTTATAAAAATTAGTCAAATGTGCTTATATTCATATAAATCAGAAAAAAAAATAAATTAAATCTTAGATATATAAAAAGAACATCGTTGAAATAACTTGAATCCGCAAGGGTAATTCTATACTCATTATCAATTACTTTAAATTTTTTGTTTATATTAAAAATTAATATTATATTTACTCATTATATTTAGATGGTATTTTTTTTATTAAGAAGCAAGGACAATCTCTATCAATCAATAAGAGTCAAGGACAAACAATATAAAGAAGTGTTTCCTATGTTATGACATGATCAATAAGAGTCAAAGACAATCTCTGTCGCACGTCGGCTTACTACTGAAGAGCTCTGCATTTAGTCATGAGCAATTATACGTGGCGCTTTTTAGAGTTACGAGTCAGTGGGGTTTGAAGATTTTGATTTGAGCTGAGGGAGATTTTAACGATAGAAAAACCACGACGTTGTTTTATAAAGAAGTGTTTAAGAATATTTATATTTTTTTTCTTAATTTTTTTCAATGAATTTGTTATGATTTTTACTATTGTTTATAATTTTTATTATTTTTTCATGTAGCATATAGTTTTCCGTGCAAATGCGCGGGATAAAAACTAGTTTAAGTTTCTTCTGCCATATTCATTACTTTTTAAAAATTAATTAGAGTGTGACTGGATATGGATTTGATTGGTTTTTTTGTTAATTATAATTAATTTTGAGAAATGTGGTATAATTAATTGTTAGTGAAAATTTAAGTTTAAATTAAAATAATATTTAAAATAAAATAATTAAAGCTAATTAGATGTAAAAGTAGGTGAAAAATGATTAGAAGTGATGGTTAGTAAAAATTATTTGAGTTGATAAATTAATAGTGAATTAAACTTAATGTGATGTGTGAGAATGATTGGTTGATATTAATTATTTAATTATATTGATAATATTGAAAATAGTTTGGTTGAGTTAAATTTGAGTTTTGATTGGTTTTTTTATTTTTTTAAGTTTTGTTAGAAGAAAGAAAGAAGTATGAATGCTTACCTCAACATGACCCCGCAATGACGTCAGCCTTCACCTTCTGCATGAGGACAAAACCAACGAGCTCCCTCAGCTCCAGCTGTGCATGGCCAATCACAATTCATCTAGAGCATCTTGTATTTCCCATCTATCCTTTTCTGATCCTATGATGGATGTGTGACATGTGGCAATGATTCTAGATCCATCCTTAAATAGCTATAAATGGGAAAAGCTAGGTTTTGTTTTCATTATTACCTTCTCTCTCTATTTTGTAATTAAGCCGCCGCCATGGCATTGAAGGAAATGAAAGTTCATGTTTTTCTGGGAATGTTTCTTTTGATCTTCAGCTCTTTTTTTATCTTGGTATCAGAGCGGGTTTAACACCCCGTCTCTGATCACCTTCTTCCCTTCCTATTAAAAAAAAAATGTCTGAAACTTCGAGTATGACTCCAAGCAGCACAAGCTCTCTGCAGCTCGTCTCTCCCAACAATCAACTTGTGAATGTCAAGCTCGATGATAACAACTTTCTCGTCTGGAAGCAACAAGTGCACATGGCCATAAAGGGATATGGCCTTGAAGGGTTCATAGATGGCACAAGTCAAGCTCCAGAACAGTTCTTGCCCATAGTTCCAGTTTCTCAGAATCCAGATTTCATCACTTGGCAAAGGAAAGATCATCTTCTTGCTTCATGGATTCTCTCCTCTCTGAGCATCAATATCATACCTCTGATGGTGGGTTTGAATACTTCCAAAGAGATATGGACTGCATTAGAGAAAACTTTTAGCAGCCAATCTCTAGCTAGAGTGATGCAGTACAAGATGGAAATACAAGCACTGGAAAAGGGAACTTTTTCAATGAAGGAGTACAGTAGCAAAATGAAAAGCTTGTTTGATGCCCTAGCTGCATCTGGCCATATGGTTTCTGAAAAAAACCAAATCATGCATCTAATAGGAGGTCTTGGTCAAGAATATAACCCCATTGGTCACTGTCTCCTCAAGAGTTGAACCTTGGACTATCATTGATATTCAGGCCTTATTATTGAGTTTTGAATCAAGGCTTGAATCAGTTGGAATGTTGAATCCCTTAATCAACAGTGATGGAACCTCCCCTACACTAAATGCTGCCTTTGCTCAAAACACTTCAAGAGGTGACTATAAAAACAATTTCCCGAGATCAAGAGGTCGAGCTCCCTTCAACCAAAACTTCAGAGGAGGCAGACAAGGTAGAGGACCTTATAGAGGCAGAGGAAACAGAAGCAAAGTCTCATGTCAAGTGTGTGGTGTTGTTGGTCATACTGCTGAAAGATGCTGGTATAGGTATGATAGTGGATACATGGGGAGTTCACCAGCTAATGCTAGCAAAAGCTTCAAAAACAACAACAATCCAACTCTGAATCTTGCTCACACTCCAAGCACAACAACCTCTTATGATTTCAACTCTGAAAGGGTTCAATGGTATCCAGATTCTGGTGCCACAAATCATGTGACAAATGATTTCAGCAACATGAGCATTGCAAGTGAGTACACTGGTGGAAGCAAGCTTCATATGGGTAATGGATCTGGAGAAAATATTCCTCACATAGGTAAAACACAATTGAAATCCTTTAACTCCAATAGAGTTTTCATTCTTCAAGACCTTTTACATGTTCCTAGTGTCACTAAAAATCTTTTAAGTGTCTCTAGGTTTGCTTAAGATAATAATGTCTTTTTTGAATTTCACCCATCTTGTTGTTTTGTGAAGGAACGAGTAACTCAGGAGGTGCTACTCCAAGGGGAGCTTAACCAAGGACTTTGTCAATTTCAACTAGCCTCTTCACCAACTTCAACTTTCACTGGTTCCCCCAGCCTTGATCCTAAAGCTCAGTCTACTTATTCTGTTAACCTTGTTAGTTCTATTGGTTTGAAGAACAATGTCTGTTTAGATTTGTGGCATAGAAGACTAGGTCATTGCAGTTATGAGGTTGTCAAGAAAGTTCTGAGATTCTGTAACCAGTCTTTGATATGAATAAAAGTGCCACTTTATGTTCCATTTGTGCTGTTTCTAAGATTCACAAATTTCCTTTTAAAGATTCTGAAACTGAGTACACTGCACCATTTGAGCTTATACATTCAGATCTTTGGGGACCCTCTCCTATTAAGTCAAGAAATGGACATCTTTATTATGTGAACTTTGTAGATCAGTTTACCAAATTTAGTTGGATCTACTTTCTTAAACAAAAATCTGAAGTTCATGACATATTTCTTCATTTCAAAAACATGGTTGACACTCAGTTTGGGCTTAAAATCAAAGGCTTACAAACAGATTGGGGAGGGGAATATAGATCTCTTAGTTCAGACAAATGGGATTTCACACAGGGTTTCATGTCCATATACACCCCAACAAAATGGCACTGCAGAAAGAAAACATAGGCATGTTACTGAAATGGGTCTTTCCCTCCTAAATCAATCCTCTTTACCCTTGACCTTTTGGGATGATGCCTTTTCTACCTCTTGCTATATAATCAACAGGCTTCCCACAAAGTCCTTGGATTTCAAGACTCCCTTGGAGATGCTGCACCATCACCCTCCTGATTACACCAGGTTCAAAACCTTTGGTTGTCTTGCTTTTCCTTTAATTAGACCTTATAATAAACATAAACTTGAACCAAGGTCAATAGGTGGTACATTTATTGGTTTCAGTAGCTTTCACAAAGGCTACAAAATTCTTTTACCTTCTCGAAAAGTAGTGGTGTCAAGACATGTCCTTTTTAATGAGGAAGTTTATCCTTTCAGTGACACCATTAAAAACCAAACTTTTGATCAATCTCACTCACAATCCCCATCTTTACATCTCCAGTTGTTAATCCTTTTTTTACCCAAGAGTTTCTTAGGCATGTTCATCCCTCTTTAAATTCTCCAAACAATCCATCTACACCATCACCTCAAATATCCAAATCACCCACTCACTCAGTTCAAAGTCCAGTTCTTAACAGTCCCAGGTCAATAAACCGCCAATCCAGTCACTCCACATACCCTTTAGTTGTTGATTTACCTATCATGGTGAATAATTCTCCAGAACCAAGTCAATCCACCATCAGAACTCCAAGAAATCAAAATATGCATCACATGGTTACCAGAGGTAAGGCAGGAATTTACAGACCAAGAGTTTTAATGGTTGCCATTGATCAAAGAGAGCCTACCTGCCTTGATGAAGCCTTAAATTCACCTCAATGGTATGATGCTATGATAAAAGAACTGCAAGCCATGAAAAAGAATAAGACTTGGAGCCTTGTTGATCTACCAGAAAACAGAAATGTAGTGGGTTGTAAATGGGTGTTTAAGTTGAAGAGGAATTCAGATGGCTCTATTTCAAGGTACAAAGCAAGGTTGGTTGCTCAAGGCTTCTCCCAAAC